AAGTGGTGTTTCTGTGAGTGTATTATTATAACGTTATTGACGACAGACTGCAATCATAAGTGCAGTGAATGTGTGGAAAAAGGGGCAGATTTTGGGCATTAATTGCAGACAATATTTAATTGCATTGAAGACAACAATCAGTCCGTAGAAGACATGGAAGACTACGAACGGGTCCTTCTGGTGAAGTCGGATGTCTTCATATTCAAGATCCCGCCCAAGACTACCAACAGAGCTCATCGGTTGCCACCACTGGACTCACCACTGGATGTGATGATTGCTAACAGTGTTGTTGTCCCCCAATAGGGCCGCCGATTGGAAACTGGATGCCCCGGACTGGACGGGTAGACTCAGACTCGTCGCCAAAGGCAAGGAGTGTATCCTCAAACTGGAGGACAAGATGAGTGGTCAGCTCTTCGGCAAGTGTCCGATCGACAAATACCCGAGTATTGCAGTCGAGTCGGTGTCCGACTCGAGCCGTTATTTTGTGATCCGTCTTCAGGACGACAACGGGAGGAATGCCTTCATTGGCATCGGATTCACTGATCGCGGCGACAGCTTTGACCTAAACGTCGCTCTTCAGGACCACTTCAAGTATGTCTTTAATTCACTGAATCTCTTGTTTGCAAACAATTCACTCATTTTGTGTGCGTTTGTGAAGAGTTCTACAGAAAGAAGAAGAGGCAGAGAATGAGCCGGAAGTGAGTGAACCGAAGCTCGACTTAGGCTTCAAAGACGGACAGACTATTAAAGTGAACCTCAATATTGCTGTGAGTTTTTGTGTCAAATGTATCGATAAAAATGTCAATTAATTAAATTAAATGACAGAAAAAGAGTGGTTCCGGAAGTGCGTCGAGTCGTCCGCGCGTGAAACCAGTTGGCGGTGGACTCGGTGGCGGTATTTTACTGCCTCCGCCTCCCGGCGCCACCAAAAGTGGTCAAACAAAGAGCGCCTCGACTGCGAGTTCAGTGAAAGCAAACACGACGACCACTCAAAGCGATAATGACTTCCTGTTAGACTTGAATTCCCTGTCCATCGGTCCCACAAATCCCATTCAAAACGAATCGAAAACCAATACTAATAATACTAATAATAATGATCTGTTCGGCGACTTCGAGTCCATCTCAGCCCCGACTGCACCCAAGACTGAATCGAGTGCACCCTTGGGCGGTGACCCCTGGGCTCAGTTCCAATGAATGGTTTCATTAATTCATTGATATTTATATTTAATATAAAAATATGTTTGAATTTCACTTCACTTTAAACACAGTCTTTAAGTGAATAATTATTGAAGTATTAAACGAATGAAATGTTAGACTTTNATCGGAACAAACGTCAAGACAGGAAAACCTGCAACTAATCCAAACCAAACACTTCACTCGTAATCCGTGTCCATAACAACACATCCAATCAATACCTCGAATAAAACTCTTCGCAAACATAGGAATCCAAGAGAACGATGTCTTCCCGACCGTCGAGGCGTTGTTTAATGAGTTTCCCAGACGTGGAGGACGTGTAGAACCAATTGGTGTCCAAGCGATCAAACTTAATGTCTGTGATCTGTTGGCCGCGACCGCCGCCACGGCTGCAGAGTCTGACGGATCGGGTGTTGTGGTCGACGCACGACACGTCTCCTCCTCGGGAACCAATGACCACAAGATTGCCGTTTGGATGCCATTCAACGGATGACAACATCTTGTTGAAGATGTGGTCATAAGTATGCGTTGACACCATATTTGACAGAAAGGAACTGCCGATTAGGATGTCGTCCATTGTCTTGTGGCCAACACTGGATCCGATGGATCCGTTCCTTAAGTCCAACCATTTCTTAACAATATTTCGGTTTTTATTCATTGAATACTGAAATCAAAACAAATACTGCAATACAGCTGTATTACTCCATATGTAAAGGACACAAATAGGCTCGAAATATGCACTTCTAAATTATACATATCAAATGCAATACTTAATACTATCTATTTTTGGTACCTTTATATATGAATGTGTGATTCAATTGTTTTGTTTTTGTTGTGTTTGTCATGTGTTTTGACATTTGATTTGCGAGTGTTTTGACAGAAAATCTCAATTTTGAATCAACTCTTGAGGACATTGAATGCAAAGACAACACGTGATCACTGGTCAAGTCGTCGGAAGCAGTGATAATCTGTTGTATAAGTCGTTCACCAAAACTAATGTCAATCTAATCCGCGACCAAAACATCGATTTGGATGAAAAAGATCTGATTGGATGTGATTTGGGCTGTAATTGTGTCAAAGAAGACAATCGCTGTCCACAAGAACTCCACAATCGGTGCAATGGTTTGTGTGAATGCAGTCATAGTAGATGTGGCGTTGAATCCAATTATGACACGAATGGTCTTTTAATCAATTGTCTTAAACCGATCCACGAGTGCGGAGACAACTGTTTCTGTAACACGAGTGCAGAGCTTAAGACTAAATGTGGTAATCGGTGGACACAAAGAGCCACCAAATGTGTGACACAACTGTTTGCGGATCCGTTGAAAGGCTATTCCGTGCGGACACTCAATGATCTGAGATTCGGTCAATTCGTGGCTGAATATTGCGGTGAAGTTATCGATACATCTGAAGCCAAACAGAGATTCAAATCATACGCTCAAGACTGTGATCAACACAACTATGTCCTCGTATTTCGCGAACACTTTGGCAGCGAATCCACGTTTGAGATCATAATTGATGCCAAATATTATGGCAACGAATCCAGATTTATTAACCATAGCTGCGAACCCAATCTCATAGCACTTCCCGTCAGAAGCGATTCATTGCGTCCAAGAATTTGTTTGTTTGCCGCCAAAGACATTGTCGCCGGAACTGAATTGTCTTATAATTACGGCTCGAGTGACAGTTTGGTTAGCGATAAGACCTGTTATTGTGGTGCAGATCAGTGCAAACGCTTTATGCCATTAGATATCATACTTTGATTGCATTTGAAGTCGAAATAAATTGACAAACGATGGCATCGAATGCCACAGAAGACATGGAAGAAGAGGCCTCTCAGGGGTTGTCTCAGGACTTGAATGAGAGTCAGTCGTCGGACAAGAAGAAGCGGATCTTCTCGAAAGAGCTGAGATGTATGATGTATGGGTTCGGCGATGACCACAACCCCTACACTGAGTCCGTCGACATGTTAGAGGATTTGGTCATTCAGTTCATCACTGAGACAGCGCTTCGGGCGATGGATAGCGGGAGACCCGGACGGGTGTCCGTTGAAGATGTCATGCATTTAGTCCAAAGGGATGGCAGAAAATACGCGAGAGTTAAGGACTTACTCTCTATGAATGAGGAGCTCAAGAAGGCCAGGAAAGCGTTCGATGAGGTCAAGTATGTCCAGTCGGCGTAGACCCACATACCGGTCCACTACAGCCATACCATTATCTCATTCATCATCAGTGGTCCACTCTTACGATTAAACTTTTTAGCCGTAATTTCCATTTCAAATACTTCACGCCATATGTAAACCAATGCACAAATTCATTGTGTTTAACACTATTTATTGCATTCATTGTAATCTCTATTAAATGTAATTTATAATTGAATTTCATTGTAATCTTGAATATGTTTTATAATTTATTAATCATTTGTAATAAACATAATTGATGTGTGAATCAGTGACCTTTCAATTTGTTTTTTTGCACCATATTATACGTGCAAAAGGGGCACAATATTTGTGAGCAATTCAATGCAATCTGATGTGTGTTTGAGAGCACATGAAATAAAGTGGTGTTTCTGTGAGTGTATTATTATAACGTTATTGACGACAGACTGCAATCATAAGTGCAGTGAATGTGTGGAAAAAGGGGCAGATTTTGGGCATTAATTGCAGACAATATTTAATTGCATTG